GGTTACATGTTGCTAATTCTTCCAGGCTGGCTATTTATTCTTCAGTGTGGATCCGGTGGGAACAACAGTTGATGAAAGTTTTGGGCAGTCTGCTGGAAACGCTTTCCATGACGCACAAAAGTTGTGGCTCAAATAGAAGAAACGGCTGAGTTGGCGCTGGTACCGGAAGTTCAAATTTCGTTCTTTTTGAGCGGTGCAGATTTCTAAACCGATGAATATCTGTCTTGCCTTTCCGATCCTGGCACCCACACCCTTATCTGTTCCGCCTGTAGTTGAAATGATGATGCCTAGGTAAATGAGGCGGGCGACTCCTTTCAAATTTCCTTCATTGATAGCAGTGACGATTATAGTTGTTGTTCGTTTATCTTCATTTCCTCTGTCTTCTCTGTGTTCATTTGAAATCCTGTCTTCGACATCTGTCCCTTTAAGCCTTCTGCTGTTTGTGAAATTAGACACAAAGCTTCCTTGAAACCCATATCTTCTAGGATCTTACCGGTCTGACACATTACCGTCTTCCTGCTCCCCACACACAGTCTGCTGCACAATGCAGTCCATCACAGTCAGGAATATCATCGGTAAAAGCAGATCTCTGTATTCAGTTCAAAGACTTCACTGAGTTTTCTGTTGTGTATCACTTGGCATCTGGCATTTTCGTGCAGCTACTGAGTGAATCTGTTAAATGGTTGGAGCATTGCACTGTTGAGGCAATTTCCAGACTACTTCAAGGTTAACACTGCAAGAGGCTTTTTCAAAGTTGATGAAGTCGTGTCGGTCCTCAGGTTGTTGTTGTATTGAATCATGCCTGGTCTCAGTAAAGGTGGAGCGGGTTCGAGCAAAGGAGGAGCCAATAGGTTCTCCGTGACAACATCCAAAGCATCACTAAGCCAGCTATCCGCAGTCTCACGCGTCATGGTAATGGGAAACGCATACCTGGTTTGACTAATCGAGAAACATGTGACGTTCACAAGTTGTTCTTGGAGGATGTTATTCGTGACTCTGTTACCTACAAGGAGCGTGCAAAGCGAAAGACTATGACCGCTATGGATGTTGTGTGTGGATTCAAACGCCAAGGTCGTACTTTCCATGGTTTTGGCGGTTTATTTTGCCACTGAAATTGATGTGGGCGAATTCTTTGCGAACAGTGAATGGTGTGTACTGGTCCAAAACCACATAGATAAGGGTAACACCTCACCTTGTAGACAACCTTCATGGTGAGTACCCGCACGTTATCAGAAGAATGAGGATAAGTTGGTTGATGAACTCTTAGAGAAGAATGTCATCTAGCCCTCTCTATCTCCATGGGCTTCTCAAGTAGTTTTAGGTAAGAAATCGAATGGAACACCTCGGTTATTTGTAGGCTATCGCAAGTTGAACCAGTTTATTAGAGGAGATTGTTTTCCCCTGACACGTATAGACGACACTTTTGACACTCCGGATGTATCGAATTAGTTTACTACCCTAGATTTAGCATAGGGGTATTGGTAAGTGGAAGTACACAAGGAGGACAGGCAAGAAACAGCACTTATCGTGCAGTCTGGTCTGCATGAGTTTGAAACAATGCCATTCAGGCTATTAAGTGCACTTGAGATACTTCAACATCTCATGCATCTGGAGGTACATGACTTCGAATGTGAGCATAGACCTAGAAAAAGTCAAAAAAATGTAGACGCACTGTCAAGAAAACCTCTTAGGTATCCTGGTAACTGCCCATCATGCTCCGAAGAGCAAGCTTCCCTGCTCCGAATAGAGGCAAATTATTCACATAAATAGCCCGATCTTCAGTCTTCTGAACCTGGACTGACTACGATTTATGAACTCATTTGAAGTGGACGCCAACGACCGACAGTTCAGGAAATAAGTCTCTGTGGGACAATTTGAGATGGCGTCCTTTGCCACCAACATGGGTCCACTTACACTCGCCGAGTTGTGGCTCCACAGTCGGCACTACCCACAGTACTATTATCAATACACTAGCAGTTAGGCCACACAGGCTCAAATAAGATGGCAGAAGCGGCTAAAAGGCGTTATTGGTGGCCTCATCAGAGAAAGTATATAGTAAATTTCTGTGATTTAGGGAATGAGACCGATTTCTCTCTCAGTGCTTAATGGCGTACAAAGCTACGTGTCAAACGCCTCATTATATTACTGGAAGAGAACTGCGGTTGCCAGCTGATCTAACTTCAAACACACTAGGAGAGAACACAGCCTCAGAACACGTAATCATAATAGGACGAAACCTGAACAAGGTACACTGAATGACTAGGGATATACTTCCAACAAATAAGAGGCGCCAGAAAAAATACTATGATAAGAAAGCACATGGATCACCTGTAGGGGCAGGAGACAAAGTAATGCTACTAAAGGAGACACCACCTAAAGGGAAGGCTATTAAATTCCATAAACACCGTGAAGGACCATTTACAGTAGTGGAGGCACTTAGTGACTGCGCCTGTAGGATCCAGGAACCGAGTCCCACTCAAAGTTTAGTCACACATTTGAATAGACCAAAACCTTTTTGGCAGCAAACCTTAGTTCAGACAAACCCTGCAGTAACAGCTATCTAGCCCTGCGGGTAATGCTCCTATGGGAGACAGGGTAGTATAAGGCGTGGCAAGTTAGACGGTTTTCACATGTTTCAACTGTATGTTTCTCTAACTTCAGGTTGGCTACGTAGCGATCTAGAATTAGTCGCCCAAGACGATGTAGTGCCTACTAAGAACACCGTTCCCCTCCCACCTAACTGTATTAAGATTGATTGTAAATACAATCCTTGACCTTCAGTCTTCGTTCTTACAGACATGCGATACCTGTATGATCACCCTGCTAACGTGCGCTTTGCTCTCGGTTTCGGGTAATTACCTGATGATTGGCATTACGAAGATGGTAAGCCTGTCAACGAAAAACTTTTTGCTCCTAATTCTTGACTCACTGAGGCTTTCAAGAACACTTCTTCTGTGCAACAGACATTCCCTAACGACGTTGTTGATGAAATAGCTGACGCAGTGGCCAGAGTCTTTCAATTACATCAGCCTGCATCGCGTTATGTCCATCCCTCGCCACATGAACTGGAGGTCACCGATGACTTCTATCTGCTGTCGGACAAGGTGTCTACACGTAGACCTGATGGACGTGTCTCACTCAAATGCATTCGTCAACGATTGTGTTGGACTGTCCCAAATGTATACATAAATAAACAAATTGATAAAAATAAATTTTCTACAGCTTCAGTGGTTCCATCAGTTTTGTCCAATCTGTATAGAGATGTACCTAAGATGGCCACTATATAATCTTTCGGAACTTGAAATTTGACACGGGCAACACTCGGCCTATTTAGTAGAAATCTTTCAAGCTTCATAAGTGACTTATAATTAAAGTCACAGCTACTGGGGCCTTATATAGAAGTTTTAATAATCACTAGCCTCGATGTGGACAGTCATGAGGAGCAAAAAACGATTGACTGAAAATTCCACTAGACCGAGGAAGCAGTTTTCTCCAGAGTCAAAGCAGCAGAGTGCTTCCAGAACACCATTTACAGTCAAGGGGATGAGTTGACGGCAAGATGACCATAAAATATCCATTCCGTGTAAGGTACTGGCGGTGCTGTTGATAAGCCACACTTTTCAAGTCTTTACTTAACGTAGTTTACTTATGCACGCAATAATCCAGTACTCTGCCTAACCTGTAAGCACTGACGACATAGCTCGAATTAAAAAGACGTAGTTATTGAGAAGTGCCAATGTGCGCCATATATTTGAGTAGAACGAAAGGCAAAGATTATTCAGGAAAAGGTCTAAAACTCACCTAACCAATATGGCCCTATTTAAAACTCAAGGGATGCGCTTATTGAAAGCGCAACAGAGAGGCATAAAATGGCGGCGCAGCAAATTCGTATAATTTCAGACGAAAACAACGCCTTTAACATTGGAATGTGCACTAAAGCCTCATCCATTAATGAAATTATTTGTTCAATTTTTTCATTGTGCACCAATGGACCACATTCAAATTAGCAAAGCGATAGCAGACTTTGGAGGTTGAGGGTATCGACGTTCACGGATAGTACGATGTATACTGACGCAACATCTCATACCCACAACTTCTATAGTATTCGTTCCGCGTAGACCAAAATCGAAGCAAAACACTGGAATTGATCGTCCACATACGAAGTATATTTCAGAACCGAATCGTAATGCGAAATTTATTGCCTGACTAGCTACGGATCGTGCATGAACGAACAAAAATAGCACGATAGCGTGGATGCTTGAATATGAGCCCTCAGATAAACAAGTCGACTTAAGCAATGAGGTTCAGTATGCAGTGTTCAGTGATGAATGCTGAGGATAATAATTGTGGGGAATTACCTACCGCTACAGCTCACCCCTCCCACAACAAGATCTTGCGTTCGTATAACATCGTACTATCCGTGAACGTTGACCTGCAGAGTGAGCAGATCTTCACTTCAGCATTATTCAACGAGATCAATAAATAAAATGATCGGGAATTAGAGGCTTTATTATTAGTTTATTAAACGCAAAGAAAGAATCACATACTTGATAAAAAAACAAAAAAGAAAACGAGATCATCAGAAAGAAGGCTTTTAAAAGAAAGCATAATGCTGTTAAAGTACTCAATATGTATGATTAAGCTATATATCTTGCTTGTGCGATAAAAGTAGCTAATTTTGTTCAATTGATTATAGGGTATACACGTAATATATGAAATTATTAAAAGCAGGCGCATTTGACTTCAAGTTGAAAACATTGTCAGTTTAATAAAGCATATTATTATTAATATTGTTCATAATTGAGGATAAAATCAAATTCCTAATTGCAGCATCGTGAACAGAACACATGATTGGCAAAGTGAAAATAGAGAGAGGGAGAGAGAGTGAAATGCATTTTGTGCAAAAGTAATAACAACACATTATTTTATTTACACAGAAGCTAAATTCTCAGCTGATGAAATTAGAAAGACTTGACTAGACACTGGTTAGTTTTACTTTATCACAAATTACCAGTCAACTCTTTATAACAAGCCTGACATACACGAACTGGATCTTTACTAAATGTTGTAGCCGCACGATTAGATGAACAGGTCTGACAGAATATGCCGCCACAGTTCCTGCAATGATGCTGAAAGGCAAAAAAAAAGATTAGAAACGTGTAGATATCAAAAAAATACTGAGAAAAAAGTGTTTACACAAATAACACGCTCATGTGCCTTGGCAGTTGAACCGCGAAGCCCAGACAGTACACAAGGATCAGAGCGCCCCACTTCCTTACATTCTCTAAAAGAAAGTAAGCGACCTTGACTGAAGGAAAACATGCAACTGTTGATTCCTTTTTCCTATCTGTCCTTTCTTATTCTTCTCTGTTCAACTTCATACTTCTTACCACTAGTAAGCATTACTATTGTGGAGTGTGCTGCTGGCACCTGGGAGACAGAGCTTCCATTGATTCTACTAGCACATCGTGCGTCCACCCAGGAAACAACAAAGAAGTCACCATTTCAGTTGATGTATGAGAGGAAACCACGACTACCAATACTCAGCACAACCTGGTCCCTCCATCAGGAGTGGAATATGAGGAGACTGCTCAACGCAACGGCGAAACGACGTCAGAAAGAACAAGGAGAAACGATGGAATGCAGAACCTTTGAAGTCAGCGATCAAGTGTAGTGTAGAGAAAGAAAGTAGGCGGTCAGCTGTGGGTCAGGTTCACAGAAACTTCTCCAAAAGTGATAAGAGCCATACACTATCACCGAGAGACGTGGTCCCGTGGATACCATCAAAAAAGGAAATAAGCAGAAACTGGTTAACATCAACAAAATGCTGAAATGGATTCAGTGGGATAAGGAAGCCGGGACCAAGGTACAACAGGAAGGAGTAACACCAAGAAGGTCGGGGCGGCTCCGTTCGAAACTGTTCGATAGGCAGACGAGTGTGGTGTGTGCTACTGATAAGATTTATCAGTAGTACATAGGGAGATATTCATCGCAATAAAACACCAAATAGCAGGGAGATAGGTTTAATATCAGAGAAGGCAAATGATACAGCGTTGTGAAGATACATGGGAGACGTGAAAGGAACACAACATGAAGGAAGGCCAGAAGTAGCACAACACGTGAGATCAGTGCGAAAGGTGCGTTGAAGATAAGGTGTACGTAGTGTCGCTTTATAACAGTACCAAATCCCAAGTGAATATTCCCTTACCAAATCTCATGTCTTCTACCGTTACAGTTTACGTTATATTTGTCACTACTTACTTAACCATGACTTTGTTTGCCATTGAAGTTTAACTGACTTAATGCATTAATATTCTATTTGATGTATAGTTGAAAACTATCTGCTGTATATGCCTTATTTATATACCATTCACTGTTGAACATTGTTTACTCATGTCACTTTATTCTGTGTCTAGCATTCGCGCGCTGTTCAAATCTACACGTGGACCGTCTTTGACACAGCTTTGCTGTTTTTCAAGTATTGGTTTGTACGGATTTGATTGATTGGTTACAGGATTTCCTCATGAGCTGACATCGGTTAGAAGACCATTAGAGTACTGGACAGCTGTTTCGTCAGCCTAGTTTGGGAGTCTTCATCAGTATTCACCCACCTCCAGGGTGGGCGAGATTGTAAACTATTAAGTCACTAGGACCCGATTTAATGGCCCATGAATTCTAACTTCTGCCAATTCATGACACCAGCAGTCAGACATCGCCCTCAAATCCCATAACAGAGTGCCAACGACTTATAATATCATGACCCTACGACCCTTCTGGCATCGTAGGGCTTGCAAGAACACTTATTCCACCCAGGGTAATTCCAATATTCAAGCCGGTCCACTAAGTCAATAATAACAGATATCTGTCAGGAACTGTCATCATAAAACAATTCTTTTTTTATTATATGATAGTGTCAATACACACTCTTAAGTCTGTATGGAGATCAACAGCACTCAGCATGAAAAATAAGATGCGGATCTTCAACTCCAATGTGAAGTCAGTGCTACTATACGGGTCAGAGACTTGGCACCACGCCGCGTCACGAAGGCCACTTCGAATAAACTATAGACTCTTTTCATCAGTTGTCTCCGCTTTGTACTCAAGATCAGATGGCCAGCCAGAAAAGATCACCAACAGGCATCTCTGGCAGTGAACGAACCAACCAACCCAGCAGGAACCGATTGTGCAAAAAATATGCACAAAGAAATGGAGCTGTATTGGATTGGCCATACTCTGAGAAAACAAACCATAAAGTGAGTGATATCACACGCCAGGCCATCGCTCGATTGGAACCCGAATGGGAAGCGGCGAGTTAGTTGGTCATCACTGCGAGGGTGACACGGAGATCATGCGAAGAATAGATGAAAGCATATGGGGAGACGTGGAGCCAGGTGATGAAAACGTTGGCACAGAACCGAACACAATGGAGACGTGCATCTGAAGGCCTATGTTCCTCTAGGAATCAAAGGAAACAATAATAATAATAACAATAATAAGACCATGAATAACTTTCACCTCAAGTGAATTCGGAATCTGAATAAATTCAAATACATACACAATCTTTACAAAAAATAAAAGCAAAATTACACTATGCAATATTTATCATACCCTTCTTGTACTGATAGAGAATTCTCGATCACAACCAAAACACGTCATAGCTTCATCATCTTTAGTCCATTGACGATTTGTTAAGCGCTCTCGTAAAACCTGTAAAATGATGTCAAAATGTCTTAACTCTACACAACTTACCTGAAGAGTTTGATTTTCTCGGCCTAATTCAATCACAGCAGTCTGTAGCTCTTTGATTTCTTTAGCTTTTGAATTCAATTCACTTCGAAGACTTGAACTAACATCCTCAGCGTTAATCAACCTATTGAAATGAAAAGCGTTGTAGTAGACAAAGTATGGCATATTACTTTTCTAAAAATTGAAATTTATTCAACAGAACACACACACTAATGATCCCACGAGAAAGATGACGACATGTGTGTTACAGACAAAGCTAGTGGATAAGGAACAAACAGCGCCGCCTATAACTTAGATCTTACTAAATAAACTTGCTGCAAGTCAAACAGAATGTTGGCCTGTTAACTGGTTACATTCCTATTTCTCAAAAAGAAAGCAGTACACCATGTATAAAGGGAAGTCTTCCACTTCATTGCCTACTCAAGCTGGTGTCCCTCAAGGCGCTGTCCTTTCTCCTTTTCTTTTTTCCTTCTTCTTACATGACTTGCCTCAGTCTGATGAAATAAACTTTGTGAAGTATGCTGATGATTTAACAGTTTCAATGGCTGTTAACTCCCAGCTAGATTGTGCCAAAACCAAAAGCTTTCTGTCGGGAGTCAGTAAATGGTCTGAGTCTAACGGTCTTAAACTGAATCCTTCTAAATGTCAAACTGTTAATTTCAGTTTAATATGTAAAAGACAGTTTAAAGAAGCCGTCAATTCTCATGACAGTTGTAAGATTGACGAGAGTGATATAGGGGAATTAAATCAGAAATTACGTATCTTGGACTTATTCTCTCTTTTGATCTCTCCTAGTCTTCCCATGTCTTAGCGATCTCCAGTAAAATATTCCGCCTGACATTTTATATTAAGAAGTTAAGGCACTCGGGGATAACTCAACCCCTCCTCTTAGAGTTCATAAACTCTTGCATCCTACCTATTCTTCTCTAATGTTCACTCTTATTCTTTTCTGGTTTGCTTAAAAAGGACTATGTCACAATTCGTAGAATGCTGAAGACTGTCAGTAGGATGAGTGGTGTCCCAGTGGACCACATAGTTAACGTCATTGTCGACAGGCATTTGACTTCGTGCAATAAATTTGCTAAAGGAATTTTGGTCTGACTTGGAGCATCCACTTTACCCTCAGCTTTCACCTTGCATCTCCTCAGGTAGAACAAGAAGTAACTTCAGAAAACTGTATGCTCGCACGTCTAAGTATAAAAATTCTATGAGACCATACTTGGTACGTATTTTATGTGATGAAAATAGTGTCAGGCAAGAATTGACTAACCTTTTTTCATCTAGTAAATAAACAATTTCCTCCATCCATCTTTATATACCTTCAAGTTTTACTTTTATTATTTCTATTATATTTATGGTCCTGTTGATTCTTTGTTTTCACTTTCATAACTGCAAACACCAACTTATCTCTATGACTGCTGCAATCTTTGTTTTTCCCCTCACCATATCATGTAAAGAGAACATTATATTCAATATTTTTAAACATTTTGATAGCATTATAAGGAGACGGAGATTATCTGAAAAATGTGATGTATTTGCGCTATACATTTCGAACAAGCTGATCACACATTTACTTGTCAAGTCAATATATGTGGGAAAGTTAAATTAAACAAAGTGACAAAAAAAGGAATTAAGAATAACTAACACAAACGTTTGGTAATCCAATCAAATAAGGATTGCCAAGGTAGGTTAAGAGTAATAACAAACTGTTTTTGAATACACAAGGGGGGCTTAAGTTTATGAATGGCTATAGCCTCAGTGTGTCTCAAAATCCTACTATTTATTAATGGGGAAATAAATAGTAGGATTTTGAGAAAAAGTTGAATTCCATCATCCGTAGAACCTACTATGCAGCCCAGCTTGTAATTGTGGAAAAAGCTAAAAATATGCTTCACTGGAAACCTCAAAAGTGCACAAGTGATTATATCACATCCCACACAATTTACCAATTTTCGTGTGTGTGTGGACATACATACATAGGGAGGAGTAATCGCGCGTTGCACGTGAGGGTGGAAGAGCATATCCCAAAGTGGTTAGGAAAACAGATGAATTGTGACAAGCCAATAGATGCAGGTGCCAGACTACCAACTTCGTCTATAGCTAAACATTTAATCGAGATGAACCATAAGGTTGATGTTAACGCAGCCTTTAAGGTCATCTATAAAAACGGTCAAGGACGTTTACTGAAATACGGTGAGGCTATAGCCATTCATAAACTTAAGCCCCCCTTGTGTATTCAAAAACAGTTTGTTATTACTCTTAACCTACCTTGGCAATCCTTATTTGATTGGATTACCAAACGTTTGTGTTAGTTATTCTTAATTCCTTTTTTTGTCACTTTGTTTAATTTAACTTTCCCACATATATTGACTTGACAAGTAAATGTGTGATCAGCTTGTTCGAAATGTATAGCGCAAATACATCACATTTTTCAGATAATCTCCGTCTCCTTATAATGCTATCAAAATTTATAAAAGGGACTAACTGTTTTAAATTTTTAAACATACTAGGATTTCTATACTACATTGACAATACTGTGTGAAACAAGCCCACGGCAATTTTCACTTGTATTATTATTAATAATACCTTAGCTGTTATCATTATTATTATTTCCATTCTATATGCTGCATGTTTTTGACATTACCCCTATTGTAAATGTGGAAAATTTTTCTGTGTGATTAATTTTATTTATAATTTGAGGAAATTAGATGCAATATTGTGATTAATGCTGAAAATTCCATTCTGTATCACAAGTACTGTTTTTGGAATAAACTAAATTATTATTATTATCCTGCCAATTTATGATGTAATCAACAATAGGTGTGCTTGAGAACATCACACAGTTCTCTGTGAATAATGTAGTCAGGTTTGTCATAGTTGATTATCTTATATTAACATGGAACAAAGTTAATACTAAAGGTCAGTGTTAACCCCACAAACAAGAAAAAATGTGTATCCTCAATTCTACTGTCAGTAACCATCAACTAAATAACATGCCAATTCTTGTTTAATTCAATTAAGATTTCCTCGTCGATTGATTGGTCCTGCTCAGTTTCAGGTTGACATGTTAGCTCCTTGTGCAGATGCTTCAACGACGTTTGGTCATGTAACTTGAAGTCAATTGGTGGATGGTGACAAGCAGTGGAATCCAGGGTGCGCATTTCGTCCTGTTTGGGACTCGTCATCTGGATGTACCTGCATTCCCCACCAATTGAATTTTTAATTCTTGGTTTGAAGTACTTATTAGTACACTGTTTTATTAGAGAAGTTTGAAAAGTACAACTTCAAGTAAACCAAAACTGAAAGTGCTACTTGTTTCACATGCGCTGATGACAGATTTCTCGCTCTTACTATTCTAATCCAACAGTTTTAACTCCATTATAGATAAGATTTTATTTTGATAAAGTGTCACACAGTGTTGTTATACAGTAATATTAACTGATGACCACGTTTCGAGCACAATTTATCACTGCTCATAATCATATCAACTCACTCAGTCACACAACTTTCTTCCTTCATTTATAATACATCAGTGAAAATTGATGATTAGACATTTGAATAAAAATCAATATAGGATAATGTACACTCAGAAATAATAATATGAGTGTTATCAATCAAAACAATCAGATGGGAAATAAGACAAGTGTTTTTATAGTCAAAATAAATATGTAACTTGTTAGAATGTTATGATGTATGTGAATTGAATTGAAATAGAATTTTAAGATTATTTATTATCCTCCTCTGATTTGACTGACTGGTGGTAATAATATCTTCCATGCGTATCTCTGGTATTTCCATTGAGTCACTTCTGTTGCATGTGGTGGGTGTGTAAATCGCTGAACAAGAATTCAGTAATCAATCTGTCTCTCCACCTACCTATATTACTTTTTAGAATTTCAACTCTGTCCACCCACCCTATTGTGTGTTAATGCATGCAGTGCAATCGCTGAGCTTTTTTCTAAATTACTTATCTTCTCGGGGTCAAACATTCTTACCTAAGCTAAATTCTTATGTTCCGACAATCTGACTACACCCGACCTACTAGTTTGACCTATGTAGTTAGTTCACCGAACTCACAGCCATTGCAGGGTATTTTGTGAATAATATTATTTTGTTTAACTGGGTCCACCAGGTCTTTTAGCCTACAGAGATTGTCCCTGAGTGCGTTTGTAGATTTGAATGTCACTACAATTCCTGCTTTACTGAGAATCCTACGTAGGGCCCCGATTGTCCCCTCCCTATATGGTCATTAGTAAATATTTCTGTACAACAGTGTGTGATTTATCAAAATAAAATCTTATCTATAATGGAGTTATACTCTACCAGCACAGTGCCCAAGTTTTATACTTTTATCTCAACAGTTTTCCTAATTTAAAAAAAGTAGGCACCAACAAAATAAAGTCAACTCACTTTTCCATTAACGAATCAATTTCCTTCTTGGACAAAGCTGATTCTGCTAAAAGTAGATTTTTATAAAACAAGGAGAACATTGCATAAGAAGTTAGATATTTAATGACTGCATGATAACAGTAACAAAATTTGACGAAATTACTTGAAGGTTGTGGGTGTCAGCACCGTACTCGAAATCATGCAGAAGTGTAAGAGCTTACGGAGAGTCGTCATATGAATTGACGATGACAACCAGTGGTGTCCGTCACGGATGCTAACTGTCCCCATTTCCCTTTAATTTCATCATAGATGCACTAATGGACTTAACCCTAACTGACTTCAGCAACCCAGGGATTGAATTGTTACCAGGGGATAATGTCGTTGACTTACAATATGCAGATGATGATATAGTCCCAGTCATTTGAACATCCTGAGCAACAATCTTTGAATGTTTGGCATAACATTCGCTCTCATCAAATGTAAGATTTTGCTACAAAATTAGAGTTTGTTGATCACTTCACTTATTCCGGAAGTTGCGTCAGCCAACGCCAGAGGGTTGATCACTGACGAAATCTCAGCACGGATACAGAAGAGCCTTCTGTTTGGCATTCGCCAACTTATGGCTCTGAGTGAGACATGGCCATTGAAAGTGGAAGATAAGAAAAGGAAAACTGTCTTTGATCTGTTGTTGTCTGCATCCTATCTCCCATGTCGAGTGGTATAATAGGTGAGCAATATTGAGGTTAGGAGTCGAGGGCTAGGTAAGGAGGGAAAGTTAATCGACGGGGTTGTGAAGCTATATCGATTGAGATAGACAAAACACGTGTTACGCATGCCCAGTCATCGCCTTCCTCGACGAGTAATGTTAGCTGAAATAGGATCGAGTTGGAAAACTTGGTCAAATCAAAACATGGAATCAGTCTATGAAATCATTGACAGTTGGTTTGAATCACACAGGGAAGTGTAAGCCTCTTTCTTAAACATACTTAGCTACCTGAATTATTAACACTGGCTTACTTTTTGAACTTTACTGTATTCCTTCTTTTGTGTATCTACTGGTTCCGACTATATTAGCACTATGAGTAGTACAAAATTTTCCTGTCATTAACCATCATGTAATTATTAGATTTTGTGGTTGTTTTTTCTTATTTTTCGGCAATATTAAACTGACAATCATTGGTTGTGAAGTGAAGGCAGACTCATACATAATCGTGATCATAAATCAATGCTTGATGCGATACTATAGTTTGACTTGAGTGAGAAACGTATCACAAACTGACTGGTTTCAATATAGAACTTTGCACCGATGTGCAGAAGTTCGAGTCGCCACACTCCACTCCTTGTAGCACACAAAGCAAGAGAAGAAAGGCATAATAGAGACAGTAGACAGGGATATCAGACGAAAGAAATAGTAATAACGAAGAACAATATAGTTTCATTGGGTATTATAAGTCACAAGGAGTGGATGCATCTGCGCCAGCCATTGAGAACGACCTTCAACCATATCACCAGTTTTATCCAGCCTTCATTGGTGTTAACCGTCCCGAGGACCCCAACCAGCCAAGAAGTCTACACATTCCTACGTGATTAGCTTGAACTAACTGTTGTAGATTTCATTGAGTAATCAAACCATGTTTTGGTTTGACCATTACTAAGATCATCTCCATCCTATGTCAACTAACATTGCCCGTCTGGGGAGGCGATCGATAGTTAGGCATGCATGCGTAACACATATCCTAACCAACTTAATCCATGTAACTTCCCAACCACCTCGTCGACTGATTTCCACTCCTCACCTAGCACTCGACGCCTAACCTCAATATTAATCACCCTATTACACTACTCAACACACACACACGAGATAGAACGCAGACACCTTTGATCAAAGATAACTAGCCGGCCTTTTGATGTCTCCCACTTTCAATGACCAAGTCTCAGTAACAACCATAAAGGAGAACGGAGCGAACTCCTGAGCAGTACAGACACTTTGATCGATAGACAGCCGGATATCACGTCTACGCCAGACACAGCGTAAACTGGCACATGCGAAACGAGCCTTCTGTATCTGTGCTCAGCGATCAACACGTTGGCACTGGCTGATGAAACTTCCCAAATAAGTGAAGCGGTCAACACGTTCCACCAACCAATTCATTCCCTATTTCTGAGCTAGAAGTCAGTATAGTCCAGTCCTATCCTGTAGCGTCATTTTATATTTGGCGGGAGCGAATCGCCTACCAAACATTCGAAGATTGCAGCTCAAGATGTTTAGAAGACTTTGCATTTTGTTAGCATCTTCATCTAGGCGGGAGGACTATATTATCTGCATATTCTAAATCAACGAGACTTTTCCCTGCTAACAGGTATGCAAAGCTGGTTAACTGAGCCTTTTACGCCTTATATTAGTGATAACAAAAGTAACTCGAAGGAAACACCTATTCACTGTGCCATCAGTAAATGATATTCTCAATTATACTATCTAACACTTAGACAACACAACTACACAAATTTCGATGAGTATTCTGTGGCACTTTAATCTACTAAATGTACACAACAAAGAAAACAAGATTTTTGAATAAATTAAACAAAGATTGGTTGGTATACGAGAATTGTGTGAATAAATCATCAACAGAGTTATAAATCGATCAATGTTGCTGCTAACATACCACTGAATTTGTGTACAATGTTTATTTACTGCTAGTTTGTTAGTTAACAAATTTATTATGAAGTCATGAGTACAGAATAGGCTGACTTACTGACAGACTGGTTTCACCATAGAACTGTGCACAGGTGTGCAGAGCAGTTCAAGTTGCAAATTTCCCTCCATGTAACAAACAAAGCAAGAGAAGAGAGTAAATAGACAACCAAATTATTATAATTGTTTCCTTTAATTCCTAGAGGAACATAGGGCTTCAGCCGTGCGTCTCCATTGCGTTCGGTTCTCTACTAAAGTTTTCACCTGGCTCCAAGTCTGCCCACACGTTTTCATCTCCTCTTCACATGCCCTCAGAGTATGGCCAATCCATCTCCATTTCTTCCTGCCTACTTGTTTCACAATCGGTTCCTGGTTGGTTCGCTCAATGCCAGAGATCCCTGTTGCTGATCTGTTCTGGCCGGCCATCTGATCTTGAGTATTGAGCGAAAACAACTGTTGATGAAGGTCTGTAGTTTGTTTGAAATGCTCTTTATGATGCGCAGTGCAAGTCTCTGATCCGTATAGTAGCACTGACTGACTTCACATTGGAGTTGAAAATCCGGATTTTATTTTTTGATGCTGAGTGTTGTTGACCTCCACACAGACTTGAGAGTAGTGAAAGCTTGTCTTGCTTTTCCGATTCTTGCTTTGATATCCTCATCAGTTCCGTCCGCCTGTAGTTGAAACGATGCTTCCCAGGTAGGTAAAGGAGGTTGTTTCTTTCAGGTTCCTCCCATTTATGCTGATTGTTGTCTGTTGTTGTTGTTGCTGTTGGTAGTACTGCCCAGGAATCTTCATCAGCTCTGTTTTATCTATGTTCACCTGAAGTCCTTTCTATCTTTGATGCTTCTTCTGCCAACTTGTTGCTTTTCACTTGCATATCTTCCAGTTTGTGGGAAATCAGACATATATCATCGGCGAAGTCCAGATCCTGCAAGTCGTTTTTGTGTGAGTCCATTTTATGCCTGTTTCCTCATTGCCCGCTGTTTGTCGCATTATCCAATCTACTGCAATCAGGAAAATCATTGGCGATAGTAGGCAGCCAGCTTGTCTTACTCCTGTCCTCACTTCGAAGGATTCCGTAAGTTTCCCGTTGTGAATTACTTGGCATGCAGCATTGTCGTACAGCTGTTGGATGAGATGTATAATTGTCGGTGACACACCATAGTAGCGTAGTAGTTTCCAAATTGCCTCTCGATCGACGCTGTCGAAGGCCTTTTCAAAGTCGATGAAGTTGAGATAGAGAGGTGACTGCCATTCCAAGCTTTGTTCAATGATGATCCGTAATGTGGCGATCTGATCAATGCATGACTTGTTTCTCCTGAATCCAGCTTGTTCCAGTCGAAGTTTTTCATCCAGGGCATGTTTGATTCTCTCCAGGATGATGCGGCTTAGTATTTTGCTTGGGATGGACAGGAGCACAATTCCGCGCCAGTTCTTGCATTGACTTAAGTCTCCTTTCTTTGGTAGTTTGAATAAGTAGCCTTTCTTCCAATCTTCAGGTACTTTGCCTTCTTTCCACACCTTCTCCAGTAGTGGCGTCAAGGTCGAATCATAAACAGAAGTGTGAGGGAAAAACAACAGTATTGTGGTAGAACAATAGAGTTTTATTTGATATGACAAATCAAAAGGAGTGATGAATGCACCTGTGCCAGCCATTGAGAACGATTTTCAGCCATATCACCAATTGCCTCTAGCAGTCATTGGTTCTTACCGTCCCGAGGAGCCCAACCGTTCAGGCAGTCGACAGCCCCCCTACATGGATTTCTTTGACTGATGCCATGTTTTCGTTTGACCACTATTGGCCCTTTTCCAACCTGATCCATCTTCTATCAGCTAGCATTACTCGTCAAGGAAGGCGATGGCTAGGCATATGTAACACATGTCCTAACCATCTAAATCTATGTAACTTCACAGTCTCATCTATTGATTTCCCCTCCTTACCTACCACTCGACTGAAGCCTCACCTCAATATTGCTCACCCTGTTACACCTACCACCTAACACGGGAGATAGAACGCAAACATCCATGATTAAAGACAGCTATCCTTTTCTAGTCGTCCTCTTTCAATGGCCATGTGTCAGTCACAGCCATAAATGAGGGCAGAGAGAACTGCTGCTGTGCAGTACACACAGTTTTTGGTCCACAGCCAGCCGGATATGACGTTTACTAAGCCAGAGATGGCGTAAGTTGGCATATGTTAAACGAGCCTTCTGTATCCTTGTTGAGATTTCATCAGTGATCAACCCACTGGCACTGGCTGATGCAACTTCTCAAATAAGTGAAGTTGTGGTCAACACTGTATAAAGTAGCACTGACTTCACGTTGGGGTTGAAAATACGCATATTATTTTTCATGCTGAGTACTGTTGATCTCCATGCAAACTTGAGAGAAATGAAAGTATACGTTGCTTTTCCAATCCTCATCTTAATATCCTCGTCATTGATGAACAAGAATAACTTAGATCTAGGAGTTGAGACAACAAACCAAACGTAATTAATAAAAGCCGTCGCACAAGAGGTGGCTCTCGTGACCCAAGTGGTCTAGTGGATGACGCTTTGGCGTTTGAAACAAGAGGAAGTGGATTCGAACCTCAGGAGGAACATCATCACTCACTGGGGAATGCAGATACATCCAGATGAAGAGTCACAAAAATGAGGAAATGCGTGTCCTTGATTCCACCGCCTGTCAGTCACCATTTGCCGACTGACTTCAAGTCTGTCTGGATTCAACATAGAACTTGGCACCTAAGTGCAGCAGTTCAAGTTGCCACGTTCCAAAGAGCACACAAAGGTACACAAGAAGATGAGTGAAGAGAATCAATAGAGTTTTGACAAGTATAAGAGTGAAACAGAATGAGCAATGGTAGAAAGGAATATGAAAGATTACAGAGACTGAATACATCTGCGTAAGCCATTGACAACGATTTTGAGCCATGTCGCCTATTGTCTCCAGCCATTGATTCTTAGAGTTCCGAGGGCCCCAACCCGGAAGTCTGCATCTCCCTCCCTACCTGACTCAGTTTAACTGTCAGGGATTTCATGGATTGATGCCATCGTTTTGTTTGACCACCACTTACTCTTTTCCAACCTGCACCTATATCAGCTAGTAATGCCCGTCGGGGGAGGCGATGGTTAGGCATGCGCAGCACGTGACCTAACCATCTCAATCTATGTAACTTTATAGCCTCGTCGATTGATTCTTCCTCTTTGCCCAACACTCTACGCCTGACATCTATGATCAAAAACAGTCAACCTTTTCATGTCTTCAACTCGTATTGGCCATGTTTCAGAGCCATAGAGAAGGACGGAGCGAACTGCTGCTGAGCAGTACACACGTCCCTTGGTTGATAGCCGGATGTCACGCCTACGCCAGAGATGGTGTAAGTTAGCGAAAGCAGCCCGAGCTTTCTGTATCCGTGCTGAGATTTCGTCGCCAATCAATCCATTGGTGCTGATACAACTTCCCAAATAGGTGAAGTGGTCAACATGTTCTATCACTTCACTCCCTATCATGTAAACATAGTTCAGTTTAAACAAAAATAACTGACTAAGCATTCTAAAAAAATTGAATATGGCAATCATTTATAAGTTAACGTAGGAGTAATTCCCATTATGTGAAAGTAAATATGATTATTGATTTTCTTTTAAAGTGACACGGGATCTAACAAGTAACGACCTTGATGTCACGTCAAATCTATTTCCTGTCACTATACAATCACAATATGCCCAGATGTAGAAAATCGGGATTATGAATTAACTGGTTGTCGATAAAATCTTACTAGGAAAGAAAATAGGACTACCTTTCATAAAATACGAAAGATAAGTAATCCAAACTGGCCATTGAATCAGTTCTAAAGAAAACCATTTTCATGAATTTGGAATCCAAAGGTTATCAGGCTTCAGATATGCTCAGATATCGTCTCACTAAATCAGTCAGTAAAAGAGTTCTTTGCTGGAAAATTACAAACGACTTTCACCAGCCGTAAGTGGTTCTCCATTTGTGTAAGAGAACCTCGTCATCTGACCACCTCCATGTGCATCTACCAATTCTGCTCTTGTGCTGCAAGGTACATAGTTCGTACGTAGCCAGAGAATGCTTTCCATATGGTTTTACAAGAGAGGAAGGGAGGATGTACGAAGTTCCATTCTAGAACAGTAGATGGATTTCTGTCACCTTACCAACTGTTGCATTCGTTTTAAGACCATCTATCGAATTCGCGTTAACTTGCCACGATTTCTACATTCTAATCATTTAAAGACAGCGAACGCCTTGATAATTCATGAATTCAAGTCAGATTGTTGTGTACAACAGAAGTATGTTCAATACCTATTTCTACTTTAGTCAAAGAGGGATGAACATTTTTTTATTTAGTTAATCTATGTACTTTTCTCTCATAACTATAATAATTATAATTATTGTTACTTTAATCATTCCTACATTGAACTGTTCCTGGTATTATTTCACCTGTCCCACTTGTCAATCTAAATCAAAGCTGTTTTGCAATGTTGAATTCTGTTTTATCGGATTTCACATCATGTTATGTGACATTTTATTTACCTCCTTATCCTGTGATTATGCACGCCCTACCTAACATCTACACATTCTATGAACTGTTCTGTATAAGACATTACTTGTTTCACTACTTGATATTTAACTATGATTATAATCACAAACTTCGACCGGAACAGGCTGGATTCGGGAAGGACAAGTCATGCATCGATCAAATCGCAAAACTAGGTATCATCATTGAACAGAGCTTGGAATGGCAGTCCCATCTCTACCTCAAATTCATCTACTTTGAAAAATCTTCGATAACGTAGTGTCGATCGAGAGGTGATTTGGCAACTACTTCGCTACTATTACGAAGGGGTACCGCCAACAATTATACATCTCATCCAACAATTGTACGACAATGTTGCATGCCAAGTAATCCACAAAAGGGAAACTCACGGAATCCTACGAAGTGAAGACGGGAGTAAGACAAGCATCCAATGATTTTCCTAATTGCGGTAGACTGGATAATGCGACAGACAGCGGTGAGCCGGGCAACGAGGAGAAAGGCATAAACTGGACCCACACAAAAACATGGTGGATTTGGAATTTGCCACTGATATTTATCTGATTTCTCACAAACTGGAAGATATCCAAATGAAAAGCAACAAGTTGGCAGAAGAAGCATCCAGAAAAGATAGGACATCAGGTGAGCATAGAGAAAACAGAGGTGATGAAGATTCCTGGGCAACACCAACAGCAACAACAGATAAAAATCAGTATAAATGAGAGAAATCTGAAAGAAGCAACCTCCACCACCTATCTACCTTGGAAGCATCGTTTCAACTACAGGCGGAAATAACGGTAACATCAAAACGAGGATCGCCAAAGCAAGGAAAGCTTTCACTTCTCTCAAGTCTGTGTGGAGGTCAACAACACTCAGCATGAAAATGAAAATAAGATCCGGATTTTCAACTCCACTGTGAAGCAAGTGCTACACTACAGAGATCAGAGAATTGGCGCCGCGCCGCGTCACGAAGGCCACTTTGAACAAACTACAGACTTTTATCAACAGCTGTTTTCGCTCAGTACCACTCAAGATCAGATGGCCGGTCAGGAAAGATCAGCGATAGGGAGGGATCTCTGACAATGAATGAACCAACCAGCCCAGCAAGAACCGATTGTGCAACAAATCTACCGGAAAAAATGGAGGCGGTGGATTGGCCACTTTCTGAGAAAACAATTCATCAAGTGACATTGCACACCAGGCCGCCTCTCTCTCTCTCTCTCGAGTGGGATCCCAAAGGGAAGCGGCGAGTTAGTTGGTCGTCAGTGCGAGGGTGACATGGAGAAGGAAGTCATATATAGAAGAACTGACTGACTTAACATTGGTGTTGCAATACTGGAAATCAAAAGCTGACTTCGCTGTGACTCCATATTGAAGATCAGATGGCCAGTGGGAAAGGATGAGCAACAAGAAACTCTCGGAACGAACCAGCTAAGAACTTATATTGTTCAACAAATACGTAGAAGTAAATGGAGATGGATCGGAAATATCCTGAGGAGACGATTAGATGATATCGCGCGTCAGGTTATCGTTCGAGTGGAACCCTAATGGGTAACGACGAGTTCGGCGTGTGAGCAGGAGACAAAAGCTTATGGACAGTCGTGAGACCAGCTGAAGAGGACTGGAGAGAACAGGACAAAGTGGAGACTTATCGTTGAAGCCGTATGTTTCACTCAGAACCCAAAGGAATAATAATAATTATTATTATAATATATGCTGACAATCTCTTACTCTGTAAATCCGCACGGACAACTTTAAGCTCCTTTTCTAAACTAATTAACTTTTCTTCTGACATTCCATTTGATTTTACCGCTTCATCAGCTTGAAGTTTTAGATGATCACAGTTTTCTTGAAGTGCCTTATTCGTCTTCTGTAATTCTGTTACTTCATTAGTTAAACGGCTCTGAATAAAATAAAAGGAACAGCAAGAAGAGTAAAGTTAACAGTGAGATTACAATCCGCATTGTATAAAAATGAGTAAATTTATTACAAGATTTATGGACAAAGCATTATTATTACTTAGAAAAGAAACAAATGGAATCTATTGTATTATTATTATTATTTCCTTTAATTCCTAGAGGAACATAGGGCTTCAGCCGTGTGTCTCCATTGAGTTCGGTTCTCTGCTATAGTCTTCACCTGGCTCCATGTCTGCCCACACGTTTTCATCTCCTCTTCACATGACCTCTTCCAAGTCACCCTTGCACTGACGACCAACTCGCCGCTTCCCTTTCGGGTTCCACTCGAGCAATGGCTTATCTAATGATGTCACTTGATGGTTTCCTTAGAGTATGGCCAATCCATCTCCATTTCCTTCTGCATATTTGTTTCACAATCGGTTCCTGGTTGGTTCGCTCCCAGAGATCGCTGTTGCTGATCTTTTCTGGCCCTCTGATCTTGAGTATTGAGCGAAGACAACTATTGAGTTAAAGTGTACACAGCCAATTGCACTACATATGATTAATATTATGTTATTATAATTATTATTTTTCGCTTGAGTTCCGAGTGGAACATAGGGCTTCAACAGCACATTTTCATTTCACCCTGTCCTCCAAGGTTCTCTTCAGCTGGCCCAGTGATTGCTCATAGGCTCACGTCTCCTACTCACACGATCCCCTCTATTCCATTGTGGATAAGATTTCATTTTGATAAATCACACAGCGGTGTTATACAGTAATATTTACTGATGACCACGTTTCGAGCACAATCTATCACTGCTCATAATCATATCAAGGCACTCACTCATACAACTTTCTCGCTTCATTTATATACATGAGTGGAATTCATGATTAGACATCTGAATAAAAATCAATCAATATAGGATAATGTACATTCAGAAATAATAATATGAGTGTTGTCAATCAAATACAATCAGATGGGAAATAAGACGAGTGTTTTTATAGTCAAAATGAATAAGTAACTTGTTAGAATGTTATGATGCACGTAAATTGAAATAGAATTTTAGGATTATTTATTATCCTCTTCTGATTTGACTGACTGACTGGTGGTAATAATATCTTCCATGCATATCTCTGGTATTTGCATTGAGTCATTTCTGTTGCATGTGTTGTGTTGGTTGTAGACTCGATGAACAAGGGTTAACACACAACCAGACAATAGGGTGGGTGGGAGAGGGTTAAAATTCTAAAAAGTAATCTATACAGGTGGAGACAGAGATTGATTACTGAATTATGGTTCATCGAGTCTACACGCAACACATGCAACAGAAATGACTCAGTGCCAGAGATATGGAAGACATTATTACCACCAGTCAGTGAAGTCAGTGCTACTATACGGATAAGAGACTTGGCACCGAGTCACGAAGGCAAAAAAGATCGACAACAGAGATCTCGGGGAACAAACCAACCAGGAATCGATTGTGATACAAATAAGCAAGAAGAAGTGGAGGTGGATTGGTGGCCATACTCTGAGGAAACCATCAAGTGACATCACTAGACAAGCCCTTGAGTGGAACCCGAAAGGGAAGCGGCGAGTTGGTCGTCAGTGCAAGAGTGACTTAGAGGAGGTCATGCGAAGAGGAGATGAAAGCATGTGGGCACACTTGGAGCCAGGTGAAAACTTTAGCAGAGAACCAAACGCAATGGAGACGCGCGGCTGAAGCCCTATGTTCCTCTAGGAATTGAAGGATACAATAATAATAATAATAATAATAATACATTATCATTGGCGTTATTGTTAACAGAGAAGCAACGTCTTCTGATACGTTGTTTTTTTGCTGAAGGTTATTCTGTACTGCTTGTGACCGTTTTTTAGAAAGTTAAGCCACATATCTCGAACATATCGCCCACGCAAAGACTGCAGTGACTGGTTGTTGAGTTAGTCTTTGTTCTTGCTTTTTCTCATGACCAAGATTTGGGACGTAAACACTGACGTAAACTAATGTCTACCAATTTTGGCTAGGAGACAGCTCTCACCACAATATCAGTTAATATTACTGTATAACACTGTGTGATTAATCAAAAGAAAATCTTATCTATAATGGAATCCCTTCCTGATTCAGGTTTTTTCTCCTACCGCTGCAATCACCACTGTATTGCGTCAAAATCAATTCGAACCACTACACTTTCATGCAAAATTCTTCATTCTTTTTCGCACACTAAAGCCATCAGAAGAATTCTTAAAACCAGCAGTTCCTAAAATTGCAATAATCCGTTAAACCACGGCTTATTATTTCAGCCTTTACATACCCTGGAATGCATCACAACCTAGTGGATCACTGATACAATCATTTTGCAAGAAGTCTGATAAAAAAAACAAGAATTTAAACCTATAACTCACTAGGTGTTAAGTTAAAGCATTTTAGGCTACTTTGATTGATTATTTCGAGCCGAAATGCTCCAACTTTTCTGACATGCCGGCTCCTAGTACGAACTCTTCGACGATGTCTGAAGATCAACATGATGTTATCTCGACTGGGGACGACTGACAGTAGAATCTAGGATGCACGCTTCTTCCTATATGAGACTCGTCAGCCGGATGTACCTGCATCCCTGGTGACAGGGTGTGGAATTCGAATCTCAGTGGGAACACCATCTCTCACTGCGGCAGCAGGTACATCCAGCTCCTCAGTGTCATACAGGACGAAATGCACATCCTGGACTCCACTGCAACTGATCATCAACCGAAATAAAGTAACTAGCGTTACAGCTGCTGAAATCAACCAGTCAGATATTTAAAATTCAGTTATACAGAACAATTTTTTCGCCTACTAGGCTATGAGCCATACATATTGTGTGTGTGGGGTGGGGGAGGGGACTCGTGGTACTACTACCCAATTGTTGAAGCTCAACTATGTTGAGCGGGACTCATTGACGGGAAGCTCAGAAGTTTAAATCGACGAACCATACCTCCACTCAAAGTCAACTAGTCACAAAATTAGAACAGTTAGTTAGGTGATTATCAAGGGAAACTTAACCTTCATTAATCTGATATTTGCTAGTCACTGGCTATAGGACGAAGTTGACTGGAGTTCTAGTCAGAAGTCACGACAACTGGGAGCCACCAACAGGTCGGGAGTAAGGACAAATACTCGCCACTGGTCACGCTAAAATCACGAATTTTTAGAAGTCAGAATTCATGGGCTAGCCATTGAATCGGGTCCCATTGGCTGAATGATCTACGAGTTAGCTTCCCATGTAACTGGAAGCTACTGAGACCGAACCCCTATGGTGGGTGGGTAACTACTGCTGTTGAGGCTCAAACTAGGACGAGGTTTGAGGCTATCCAGCACTCCCTGATGGTTTTCAATGGTTCTCTGACCAACATCAATATCTATAGAAATATTTTATACACTTACAATTTCATTTTCCGATTGTTTTCGTTTTATTTCAAAATCATTTTTTAGTGTTGTTAGATCCGTTTGTAGGTTGTCTTTAGTATACTGTATAACAGACAGATCTTCAGAGAGTTTTTTATTAGTCAGCTTTAATTCTTGAATTTGTCTTTCAAGAATCGATATACACGTGGAACGATTTGCTAATTCTGTTTCTAGTTTGTTTATTTCACTTGTTTTCATTTCAGTTGTATCTGACAGCTTTGTTTGATAGTTGTTCAGCTCACGTTTTGTTGACAACAATTCTGTCTGGAAAAAGACAAAGAAAATCAATTGGAGAGGAGAAAAACAACAGAGAGAGAGAATAGTCATAAGAAAATCGATGCATATTTGTCTTGATAAGGAATTTGGTTAAGTTATTCAAGGGTTGGTTTGCAGGGATTTGATTGATTGGTTACAGGATTTCATCATGAACTGACATCAGTTAGAGAACCATTGGAAAACCAGCTGGGAGTACTGGACAGCTGTTTCGTCAGCCTAGTTTGGGACTCTTCATTAGTACGCACCCACCGACAGGGTTCGAACCCAAGACCTTCTGGTTACAAGGCGTGGTAAGTCGTGACTAGTGGGGTACAGCAGATCGGGTGTGAAGACAAATACTCGCCAAAGACATTCGCTAGTGGTCGCGCCACATTGTTAATTGGAAGAAGTTGGAATTCATGGGCGATGGATAGGGTCTACGAGCTCGTCTTGTAAACAGAAGATCCTGGGTTCAAACCCTGGCGGTGAGTGAATACTGATGAAGAGTCCTAAACTAGACTGACGAAACAGCTGTCTAGCACTCCCAGCTGGTTTTCCAATGGTCCTCTAACCGACGTCAGCTCATGATGAAATCCTAAGTCAGTTAGTGACCCATCAATTGTCATTCAAACATGTTATTCAATCGTTAGGTCTAAGGGACTGAGGTTAGGTATAGGGTGTTACAACACACAGAGGGCAATACAATCGATGAGGTTATGAAGTTGCATCGATTGATATGCTTAGGACATGTGTTACACAGCTCAAGTACAGCCTTCCACGATGATTACTGTTAGTTGACATAGGATACGGTTGGATAAAAGTTAAGGGTGGTGAAACCAAAACTTGGAATCAGTGAAATGAAGACTTTGAAAGTATGTTTGAACCACGTGCGGAAGTGAATACTGCCTCCATATTAGTTTGTTTATTAGATGTGTCACACAGTTAGTGAAACAGTATTATTTACTGGAGGAAGAGGTTTCGAACACAATTAAACAAAATCCCTACCAAACCAATACTTGAAAATTAATCTGATGCTCACTAGTGACTGGCCCTATTCAGGCAGTTAACCTGGGGTTCTAGTGGGAAGCCGTGACCAGTAGGGTAAAGCAGGTTGAAGATGTGACAGTAACTCATCTAAGAAGACATTTCGAAATGGTCTCGCTATGTCGTGAATTGGCAGAAGTTAGAATTCAAGGACCATTGGATCGGGTCCCAGTGACTCAATGGTCTACGAGCTTGCCTTGTAACCAGAAGGTCCTGGGTTCGAATCCCGGTGGGTGCGCACTGGTGAAGAGTCCCAAACTAGGACGAAACAGCTGTCCAGTACTCCCAGGTTTCCAGTGGTTCTCTAACTGATGTCAGCTCATGATGAAATCCTCCATACAATTATCACTGTTCATAATCACATTAATTCTAATCACACGACTTCGAAACTTGAATTTTATAGTTTTCTTTGTTCTCTTCTATTTGCCGTCGTTGGGGCAGTAGAATTTTCCAGATGTCTGAGTGGACAGGTGTCGAATCATTCCTATTACATGTATTTGCAGTTGATTCGATAAACAAAGCTTCTGTTATCAATCTCTCCCTCCCTCCACCCTGTTACATTAGATTTTAAGACGGTCATCTTATCTCATCCTATTGTGGGGATGTGTGTAATTGTATGTAGGGCTTACGATAGCTGAACTACTCTCTAGATTTCTTATCTTATTCGGGTCAACTAATCTAGATTTTGCTGCTAGGTTTTTCTGATCTGCTGGTCTGACTCCCCCTGTCCTACTACTTTGACCTAAGTAATTGACCATTTGTTTATCGAATCAACTACAAATACATGTAATAGGAATGATTCATCACCTGTCCACTCAGACATCTGGAAAATTCTACTGCCCCAACGACGGCAAATAGAAGAGAAAAAAGAAAACTTTAAAAGTGAAGTTTCGAAGTCGTGTGATTATAATTGATGAAATGATTATGAGCAACAAATTTTGTTCGAAACTTTGTCATCCATTAAATTATATTGTTTCACTGTGACTGTGTGATACATCTAATAAATCAACTAATACAGAATTACTTAAAACTACAGTGCCCAACTTTTACACACATATGAATACTGCCTGGTTGGAATCCTCAGGATACTGGGAACCGGTGGTTGCAGAGATAACTAGTGATATGGCTTAAAATCGTTCTCAATGGTGCAGAAGTATTCACGCTTTGTGATTTCTCAGATCAATCAAGCCCTCATGCTTTTTCATGTTACTATTTTTTTTCTTCATCACAATTCTGCTGATCATAGTTCGTTGAATTCCTTTTCTTCTTTTCTCGCTGCACAGAATGTGGCAGATTGAACTTTTTGTATTATTATTATTATTATTGTTCCCTTGGGTTCCTAGTGGAACATAGGGCTTCAGCTACACGTCTCCACTTGCTCCTGTCTTCTGCTATACTTTTCACCTGCATCCATGTTAATCCATACTGTTCCAACTCCTCTTCACACGATCTCCTCCATGTCACCCTTCGACGTCCCACTCGCCAATTCCCTTTCAAATTCCACTCGAGCACTGGCCTGACGCGCGATGTCACCCAACGGCCTCCTCAGCGAGTGTCCAATCCATCTCCACTTTCTCCTGCATATTTGTTGGAAGATTGATTCTTGTTTTGTTTGTTCCCATAGTTTATTGTTGGTGATTCTTTCTGGCGGCCATCTGATCTTGAGTATAGAGCGAAGACAGTTGTTGATAAAGATCTACAACCTGTTGGAAACATTCTCTGTGACCCGCCAAGTTTCTGATCCATATGTATAGAAGAACTGACTTGACGTTTGTATTGAAAATCCGAATTTTGTTGTTGATGCTGGGTGACGAAGATTTCCAGATTGGTTTCAGGTTGATGAATGTGTTTCTTGCCTTCCCAATTCTCGATTTGACATCCAGGTTCGTTCCTCCTGTAGTTGAGACAATGCTCCCTAGATAAGTGAATGAAGTAACCTCTTTCAAATCCCTCCCGTTGATGGTGATTGTCACTGGATGTTGCTGCTGCTGTTGTTGTTGTTGGTTGGTGGTACTATTTGTACTTCCGTGCAAAGTTCTGCGTTGAAACAGTCAGTTTAGAGTACGCTCGCATAGAACAGTATGCCTCCATACTAAACAAACACGCACACCCACACACATGCGAATACACATAAAGATGTTCAAACCTCCAAATAAAAAGCCTTACTAATCAATTCAAATAGGGGAATTGAAAAAAGGCATGCGTGACGCATTTCTTAACCATTTCGATCGATTCAGCATCACAACCTCATCGATTGATTTTCCCTCCTTACCTAGCACTCGACCGATGCCTAACCTCAATATTGCTCACCCTATGATACCACTCAACATAGGAGGTAGAACGCATGCATCAAAGATAGCTAATCATGCTTTTCATGTCTTCCACTTTCAATGGCTATGTCTCACAGTCATTAATGAGGACGGAGTGAACTGCTGAGCAGTACACACACACTTTGATCGATAGACAACCGGATATCACGTCTACGTCTACGCCAGAGACAGCGTAAACTGCCATATGCAAGACGACCCTCCTGTATCCGTGCTGAGATTTCGTCAGCGATCAACCCATTGGCGTTTGGGCTGATGCAACCTCCCAAATAAGTGAAGTGGTCAACACACTCCACTGACTCACTCCCTATCTTCAATCTAGGAGTCGATGTAGCCCAGTCCTGTAACATCATCTTGACATTTGACTCCAAAAATCCGAAGATTGCTGCTCCTCAAGGTGTTCAGAAGACTCTGCACTTTATCAGTGTCTTCAACTAGGAGGGACAACTATATCATTCGCATATTCTAAGTCAACGAGATTATTCCCTGACGGTAACAAGTCAATTCCTAAGTCACTGAAGTCAGTTAAGGTCAACTCCATTAGTATATTTATGATGAAATTGAAGAGAAGTGGGGACAGTGGGCATCATCTCTGAAGGACCCCACTGGTTATCATCGCTTAGATGAATGATAAGAAAGAAACCTCACACACAAAGGGTTAAAGTTCAAGTCAAAGAAACAATCAAGCCTAGAGGGTATGAAAACACACAAAAACAACCAATCACGTTCAAGGTCACCCACCAGGAGAGATGACTAATAAACTCGTGGAGAAATCTAAAAGCTCACTTCAATTCAAATTGAAGTATGCGCTGAAGATGTTACCTAGTAGGGCGATGAAAGCTTCGCAAGTAAACCACCAACCAGCTCAGAGAACACAACCACATCAAAAAAAGACAACTCTGTATAAGCTCTTACACGACTGTGTGAGTTCCAGTAGAATAGAATAGAAAAAAGAATGAATGAATGAGGAGTCATCACACTTTGTTAAAACTGAAATCTTACTTTTAAAGATTCATTTTCTGATAAAAGAGAATTCAACCTTTGATTTATCCGTAGACTGTCTTCATTGGTTTGTTTTGATTTATCCTCAGGGTGTTCATTGTTCACTAACTCCTATGAATGATATAAGTAACACAATAAAAACGATAAAAAAAAAAATCTGTCAATGATAATCTGTGAGTAATACAACAGCATAGTGTCAAGATGCAACCAACTCTCATTATTGACTATCAACATTGAGAATCAAATACCACTGAATAGCGGTTTTATCACGATTAGCAACTGTCTGTCTGTTTTCAACATAGAACTTTGCACCGATGGGCAGCAGTTCAAGTCGCCACACTCCATGTAGCACACAAAACAAGAGAAGAAAGTAAAATGAAATGCATAATAGAGACAGTAGACAGGGATATCAGACGAAAGGAATAGTAATAACGAAGAACAATATAGTTTTATTGAGTGTTATAAGTCACAAGGAGTGGATGCATCTGCGCCAGCCATTGACAACGATTTTCAGACATATCAAAAGTCTCCAGCCTTCATTGGTTTTTGCCGTCCCGAGGACCCCAACCAGCCAAGAAGTCTACACCTCCCTACGTCTCTCCCTGGCTTAAACTGTTGTGGATTTCATTGACTGATGAAGCCATGCTTTGGTTTAACCACTACTACCTCTTCTTCAACCTGATCTATTTCTATGTCGCCGGCTAACATTGCCCGTCAAGACAGGCGATGACTAGGCATATGTAACACATGTCCTAACCATCTCAATCGGTGCAGCTTCACAACCTCGTCGATTGATTTCCCTTCACACCTACCTAGCACTCGACGCCTAACCTCAAGATTGTTCACCTTATTATACCACTTAACACAGAAGATAGAACACAGGCACCTATGATCAAAGACAGCTATCCATACCTTTCATGTCTTCCACTCTCAATGGCCAGGTCTCACAGCCATAAAGGAGGACAGAGCGGATTGCTGAGCAGTACACACGTCCTTTGGTCGACAGTCAGCCGGATATCACATGTCTACGCCAGACACGGCGTAAACTGGCATATGCGAAACTAGCCCTCTGTATGCATCCTGAGATTTCGTCAGCGATCAACTCGTTGGCACTGGCTGATGCAACTTTCCAAAATAAGTGAATTGGTCAACACGCTCCACCAACCACTTCACTCCATATCTCCAAGCTAGGAGTCAATGTAGTCCAGTGCAGTCCTGTAGCCTCATCATCTTACATTTGACAAGGGGAGCGAATCGCATGCCAAACATCCGCAGATTGCACCTCAAGGTGTTCAGAAGACTCCGCTGTATTTTGTCAGCGTCCTCACCTAGAAGGACTATATCATCTGCATATTCTAAGTCAACGAGATTATTCGTTGACGGTTACAAGTCAATATCTGAGTCTCTGAAATGAGTTAGGGTTAACTCCATTAGTACATCCATGATAAAATTGAATCGGACACCACTAGTTGTCATCACTTCAGATAACAACTCTGCGTAAGCTCTCACCTGGCTGACTGAGTACAGTGTCTTGATCAGTGTAATGTGTTTTCTCGACATTCCTTTTACAGCCAAGCATCCCCAGAGTACTTCTCGGTGAACAGAATCGAATGCCGCCTTTAGGTCAAGAAATATAACGATTGTTGGACGATTAGAAACTAATGACGGACAGATGGCTGACCGACTTAAACATTCTACTTCTAGCCAATGAACTTAGGATCCGAATCCCACCACCCTGTTTACCTTAATCTGGACAACTGGATAGTACTGTAATTGATCGCAGTATCGGTCATTCACACTAACCTGATATATATGAAAAACCTGATCCGAGTAAATAACTAACTCACAATCCCATAGGGTAAGAACACCAAGGCAATTAAAGTCGAGGTGTGTATTTTTGAGCTTATTACTACTGGGCTAGTGGAATTGGAATCAGACGGCTTATGCTTCTAAATTTTTAGAATTTTTAATATATTTGTGCGTTGAAGTTTTAGTAGCAATTTGGTTAAGTTTTGGGGGTGGAGTTGCTAGCACCACGCCCCAACCCTCCCTCTTTATCCGGGCTTGGGACCGGCTAGAATACTAGTGACCTAGTAATCTAGGCGAATTCGGATTTTCAATACAAACATCAAGTCAGTCAGTTGTTCTATACGGATCAGAAACTTGGTGGGTCATAAAGAATATTTGTTTCCAACAGCCTGTTGCAGATCTTTATCAACAACTGTCTTCGCTCTATACTCAAGATCAGATGGCCGCCAGAAAGAATCACCAACAATAAACTATGGGAACAAACAAAACAAGAATCAATCTTCCAACAAATATGCAGGAGAAAGTGGAGATGGATTGGACACTCGCTGAGGAGGCCGTTGGGTGACATCGCGCGTCAGGCCAGTGCTCGAGTGGAATTTGAAAGGGAATTGGCGAGTGGGACGTCGAAGGGTGACATGGAGGAGATCGTGTGAAGAGGAGTTGGAACAGTATGGATTAACATGGATGCAGGTGAAAAGTATAGCAGAAGACAGGAGCAAGTGGAGACGTGTAGCTGAAGCCCTATGTTCCACTAGGAACCCAAGGGAACAATAATAAAATAAATATACGCTTCTAAATTATATGCATATTATTGATAACCAAGACACTGCAATACATCAAATATTCTTGGAGTGATAGATTAACAAAAAGACGATAGTAAACATTTTCAAGTGTTGATCTGAAGGGATTTGATGACTTTAGGATTGATCACGAATTCAATTTAGTTAAAGAATCAGTAAAAACCAGGGAGTGCTGCACAGTTGTTTCGTCCTCCTTTAGAACTCTTCATCAGCACGCGCCTACGTCCTCACCAGGGATCGAACCAATAACCTTCAGGTTAGAAGACGAGCTCGTCGACCATTCATCTACAGGGACGGGATATATTACTCACTCGTGTCTGAATGTAGAATAATGTTACCAGCATTTCTAGTGGGAAGGCCCGACCAGCGGGGTCCAACAAGTCCGCTGTGAAGACAAATATTTGCCAATGACATTGACTGCCGGTGGCGAATTGGCAGAAGTTAGAATTGATGCTGGTTGACGATTTTTCCGTATAATGAGACCATAGGTGCGTGCCGATGAAGAGTCCCAAACAAGGACGAAACAGATGTCCAGTACTCCCTGCCTTTCAGTGGTTCTCTAACTGAAGTGAATTCGTGATTGATCCCGAAATCAATTACAGATGGTTATGGACAACAGACAGATAACTGCATGCATGCGTGCATGCATGCCTGTCACATACTTCGCCACATTTAACAGTAATATGTATTTGTAATCTTCAAGTAAAGACCTCAATAGCTGAGAAATGAAACCTATTTGATCAATGTGTATCAGCTTGCTAATGTTCACTGCATAAAGTAATACAACGAAATATTTACCAACATAGTGAGAGATAAAGTTATTTTGCTCACCTCTGAAGTAAACTGTACTTCCGCGTTATCAGTATCCACTTGAGTATTGGTGATTGCATCCAATTTGATAATCTTGTCCTGAAATGTTAGAATAGATAGCAATAAAATACACTGATGATGGGATGACAAGTGTATTTGCTGAGCAAGCTAGACTGATAGAATTCAGTCTGCACCAAACAAAGGATTAGACACATTACACTAGCTACTGACTAGTGTCCAATCAAAAAAAATATCCATTACAGTCCTACAGGAGGTCAGTCGAGAGCCCGAATAGCTCAGTTGTAACGTCTCTGACTGCACCAATGGGTGACGCAAGTTTGAATCTCAGAAGGGACATGAGTTTCTTCGAGGTTACAGTTAATTGCAAAGCAGGTTTTGGATAGCGTGACAGTCTAATTACTTCTGTGATGAGAGCTGTCTGCAAGCCAAAATTGTAGACAGCAATTTACGTCAATGTTTACCTCCCAGATCGGGGTCATGAGAAAAAACACCAACAAAGCTTAAACTTGAGGAACTCACCAACCAATCACAGCAGACTTAATGTGTGCAAATACGATTCGCAGATATATGGCTCAACTTTCTGAGAAACGGTCATAAAGAGATGACAGAATAACCTACAGCAGGAAAACAACCAATCAGAAGGCGTTGCTACTCTGCTAACAATAACGCTAATAATAATTTAAATAAAAATCTATAAATATCTCTTGATTTTCTCAATAAACGATCTGTTGCGTGGCCCATGTCTTCTGTCGTTACACTCCTTCGAGTATTGAGATATAAGAATAAAACTTGTTCACTACGGCAGAGTATAATTCCATCATGGATAAAATTTTATTTTGATAAAAACACAGTGTTATACAGTAATTCTACTGGTGACGTTCAAAGTACAATTTATTTCTCATAAGCATATCAATATTGCTCTTACAACATTTAATCCTACTCAAAAGATATGGTGGAGATATATGGATGACACTTTCATAGTGTTAAAAGGAGAGCACATCTCTAGCTTGGAATTAGTGGTGTTCTCCTTTGAGCTGGTTGGTTTAATTGGTCCTTCTGGAGAACATCCTCAGCGCAAGTTTTAGCACAAAATGAACTCATTTTGAATTATCCATGAATGATACAACTGTGTCTCCTGGCAACCATCGTCGTGACTGGTAGTCGATTTATATCTGTATTGATCATTTTTTTATTGACTTGGAATTTGAACTTTCTTGTCACGCAATTAAACCAACCAGCTCAGAGGATACAACTAGTTCGGAATCATCCACCTGAGCTACAAATCCTCTGTATTGTATCTCCAGATTCTTGACATACATAAACCTACTAGTAAAGGGAATAAAATTCACATTTGAATCAGAAAATGAACAAGGAGAATTAGCTATGTTAGATTGTAAAATAAAACGAACGGAAGAAGGTAAACTGCACATTAGCGTTTATAAAAAACCAACGCATTCTAATAGATATTTAGACTTTAATTCATCTCATCCGTTAACTGTCTGTGAAGGCAGGCTTAGTTAAGTGTCTAACAGACCGAGTAGTAGCACTAATTAGCACAAAAATAGACCTAAACGATGAAATGAAACAGATAGAAGAGGCGTTGGTGTCAAATAACTAACTATCCTATAAAATTCATCAGGAAAATCAGAAAAGGTCAAAAGCAAAATACAAATAATGGTGAAACTAATAATGATAAAATAAATAAGAGGGAATATAAGGCATCTGCAATTTTACCATATGAGGAGAGGACATCTGAGGCCCTACATAGGATTCTTAATAAAGCAAGAATTACGGTGGCATTCAATCCTACAAACTCACTCAGGTAGGACAAGCTCTGTAGGTTAAAGGATCCTGTCGGTTGACCCGATTAGATAACATAGTAAAATTTACAAAATACCTTGTTATGACTGTGAGTGAGGTCAACTACATAGGTCAAACAAGTAGGTCAGGGGTAGTCAGATTGTCGGAACATAAAAATTTAGCTAAGGTAAGAATGGTTGATCCCACTCGCGAAGATACGTAATTTAGAAAAAAGTCCAGCTATTGCACTGCATGAATTAACACTCAACCACACGTAATAGAGTGGGAGACGGTTAAAATTCTAAGAAGTAGTGTAGGTAGGTGGAGAGAGAGATTGATTACTAAATCTTTGTTCACCCAAGACATACAACAGAAATGACTCAATGCGAATACCAGAGTTATGCATGGAAGATGTTATTACAAGTCAAATCACAGGATAATAAATAATGCTAAAATGTATTCAATTCACATCAGAACATTATAACAAGTTACTTATTATGACTATAAAAACACTCGTCTCACTTCACATCTGATTGCATTTGATTGATAACAGTAATATTATTATTTCTGAATGTACACTATCCTACATTGATTTTATTCAAATGTCTAATCATCAATTTTTACTCATGTATATAAATGAAAGAAGAAAGGTGTGTGAGTGACTTGATATGATTATGAGCAGTGATAGATTTGCTCGAAACGTCATCATCAGTAAATATTACTGTAAAACACTTTGTGACTCCTTCAAGTATCTTGTGAAGTAACGCGAGAGAGGTAACAACAACAACGACTAGATTGAATATACTAAACTCTGAGAATAAAAACTCAAGGCGTAGGAAAAGTTGAGTCAAAATCATAGAAAAGTAACCAAAGCACTTTCATTTTATTTTGGTTTTAACAATGTGTTTTTTACTTTACCTTTATTTCCAACTCGTTTATACGTTTTTCCAATAGGTTAATTTTATCATCCTTTTCCGCCAAAATGGCATCAGTTGACTGAAAAAAATGTAAGAGAAAGGGGTGACTGGAAAAATATTAAGCAATACAGACAAACAAAAATTAACTTTTTCAACACTTCTCTGAGCAAACACACAAGGTTCCCGTAATCATTACCAACTTCATGATGAGAGTTAGCTTTTCAACAACGATGGTACGTTTTTTTAAATTGAATTTTAAATTTTTCTGTCGACTGATTGGACCGAAGTGCTCGGTCTCAGGTTCACATGTTGGCTTCCTGTGCAGATGCTTCGACGATGTCTGGGGATGTAATTCGAAGACAATTGGTGGAAGGTGACTATCAGTGGAATCCACGATACGCATTTCATCCTATTTGCGACTCGTCATTTGGATGTACCTGCATTCCACAGTGAGTGATGTTTTTCAATTAAATAATTAATATGACCTGTTGCAGAAGAGGTGGCTCTCGTGGTGCAAGTGGTCTAGTGCATAACGCTTTGGCGTTTGAAACTGGGTTCAAGTCTCGGTAGGAACATCATCATCCACTACTGGGGGATACAGGTACATCCAGATGACAAGCCCCAAATAGGACGAAATGCGCATCCTGGATTCTACTGCTAGTCACTATCCATCTATTATCTTCTGATGTTACATTTAGTTTCACAATGTTTTGTGGAATATCACTACCATTAGTCTGAAACTTGTATGAGAAAATTTCTATTTTCATTATAGTCAATTAAAGAGTGGGAGATTTTCGGAGAGATTTGATGTCACTTCCTCATAAACACAGGAAAATTTAAGTGTATGGTTGACAATAGTTAACTAATATAATGTATTCCTTATATGCACCATTTTATTTATTACCATTGTATGTCATTTATTCCAGTACTCTACTTACATTCATTGGATTATAGGCCTGTATCCACTGTGACTTTCCATTTCTTCAGAAATCGGCTGTTATTTTTCTCATTAATATTATTTCGATAGAGAAAGAAAGACCATATTTGCAGTATGAAATGTGATATCATCATTCTATTTCACAGGTTCTCATCACCTGACTGCAAACTACCTGAAATTACAATGACTATAAATAGTAACATTTCATACTTCAATGTTTGAAAGGTAATAGAGAAAACATTATAATAGGAAGGCATCCGGAATATAAGTATTACAATTTTTGGTTTAAGTTACCATCAAATTATATGCTATGGAAATATGAGAAAAAGGGGTTGCACGTCAATATTGCAACTCAAGAAGGTTAAAGTTCATCAAATTGAAAACTTGCTTAGTGAGCTGTGCTCACTGGTGTGTATGACTAATCAGTGTAATGAAAGTAATACGGTTAACAAGGCAGTGAGCGATTAACTACACTCTCTTTCTGTATGCATTAGTTTGACCTGAGACGTTTGATTTCGACTGCTTCAGCAAATCGCAGTAGATCCGCTATCCTTTGTATGTTTAATATTTTGAAGGATTTGGAAATCTCGACAAAATGACCCGTATCCACATAGTGGGTGTGTGGTAATTGTACTTTGTAAATATGTAGTTCCTTTCCAGCATACATTCCTTGGAATATGCTTTGGAGACCGGAGAGAAGCCTTTATTTCTGTCCTTTCATAGTTTGATAGTATATAAATTGATGGTAACTTAAACTGGAAAAAAATTGTAATGCTCACAATATTCCGGATGCGTTTATCTTATAATGTCTTCTCTGTCACCTTTCAAACATTGAAGTATGAAATGTTATTAATTATAACCATTCTGATTTCAGGTAGTTTGCAGTTAGCTGATGAGAACCTGTGAAATAGAATGATGATATCACATTTCCTACTGCAAATCTGGTCTTTCCTTCTCTATCGAAATCTATCAAGGGAACCAAATGTATGAAATTATTATTATTATTATAAACACACCTTTTTGATAAAAAACTAAGGCAACACATAACACTGAAAACTATAACCTAAATACAAAGATCAATCCACAGCTTACCTGTATTGATGAATAAGTGCTTGCTAGCTGAGCTTGATAGTCTAGAAAACTGCTCACTTTATTCTTAAGTTCATCATCTCTAAAAAGATGGTAAAAAAAGAAGTGGTAAGCGGAGTATAGATAGAACTATCGAATTGTACTGGAAAATAAGCTGTCTAGAGGGACAATAGTGTGTCAGTGGCACAGCTGTAAAATACTCACCACCAACCACGCAGGTGGTCCGAGGTTCCATCCTGGATCCTTTACCTCGCCAAACGAATAATAAAACTGGTAAGGAGGGAAGGTTGGGCATGAGGCTGGCTAGCAATCCCACCATGTAAAAATAAACACCACTGTTACCGAAACTTCAAGCTTCTAGCTTGAAGTGGACCTATGTTCCACTGGAAACGTAAAGGAATAAAAATAAGAAGGACAATAAAACCACTCAGAGTTCAGGGAACACAACTACACTAAAAACGTTGACTTCAATCAATCCATTAAGTTGGTTTGAGCCATGTAGGAAGGTGAAGACTGTCCCTTTAGGGTCGTTGGCATGCAAACAACCAGAGGCTTCAGACAACTGTTGATATAGTTCGAAATCATTCTCAATGGCACAGATGTACTCACACGTTTTAATCCCCTAGATCCGTTAAACCCTATTGATTTTGCATGTTCCTATTCTTTCTCCTTCACATTTCTGCTTATTATAGTCCTTTCGAATCATTCTTTTTTCTCTTCTTTTTCTCCCTTTGTGTACTTCATAGGGTGTGATAACTCGAACTGGTGCGCTTCTGTGTTAAGCTCTATGCGAAAAATCACTCTTAGTCAGTTATCTCAGCTACATTTCTTTTCAACTGTATCAAATATAGATATTATTACTACTATTATACCGGAGTGTGTGTTGGAAAACTGAGCTGTTGGTTACACTATGTATATATATATAATATTAGAGGAACATAGGGCTTCAGCTGCACGTATCTTCTGCGTTCGATTCCCTGCCAACGTTTTTACTTGGCTACACGTCTGTCCATATGCTTTCATCTCCTCTTCACTTGACTCCCTCCATGTCACCCTCACACTGACGATAAACTCGCCACTTCCCTTTCGGGTTCCACTCGAGCGATGGCCTGACGTGTGATATCACTTGATAGTTTGTTTTCTCAGAGTATGGCCAATCCACCTCTATTTCTTCCCGCATATTTGTTGCACAATCGGTTCCTACTGGGTTGGTTCGCTCATTGCCAGAGATCCCTGTTGCTGATCTTTTCTGACCGACCATCTGATCTTGAGCGAAGTATTGAGCGAAAACAGCCATTGGTGAAGGTCAGTAGTTTGTTTGAAGTACCCTTCTTGAAACGCCAAGTCTCTGATCTGTATAGTAGCACTGACTTCAGGCTGAGTGCTGTAGACGTCCACACAGACTTGAGAGAAATGAAAGTTTGCCTTGCTTCCCCGATGATCCTCGCTTTGATATCCTCATCAGTTCCGTCCGCCTGTAGTTGAAACGATGCTTCCCAGGTAGGTAAGTGGGTAGGTAAAGGAGGTTGATTCTTTCAGATTTCTCCCATTCATGCTGATCGTTGTTTGTTGTTCCTGCTGTTGCTGTTGGCCAGGAATCTTCATCACCTAACTCTGTCTTCTCTGTGTTCACCCCAAGGAAGTCCTATCTTCTCTGGATGCTTCTTCTGCCAACTTGGTGCTTTTCACTTGCATATATATATATATATGATATCTTACGATACTATGTCGAGGTAGAACTAGGTCTTACTGACTGAAGATTAAGTGATGAAGACAAGAAGTCGCATCTCTACAATGAGAGGATGACGTTAACTGTGATAATTCCGCGCACATATTATATTATACTTCATTTGTTTATTTAAACACAAAACCTTGGTACAATATGGCACCAAGAAGATGCGCTACACAATAATAATAAAACAATATATATTAAAAGGAAAAATATAGGTGGAAAACGGATAAAGAACATCATCTGGAAGGAAAACAGTCATACTTAATAAGTTCAAACAGCATTCGTCAATTATCATCGGGCAGGGAAGAAAGAAGCAAATTGTAGCACGTTCGCCATTGATTACGATTCTTGGCCATATCCGATAACGTTTCGAGCCATCATTCGGACTCCAACCAGGGAGTCGTGACGCACCAATCGATGCTAACCTAGCACAAATATCCTTCATCCCACGACGCCACGTCATGGACTGACCACCTCTCCGCCTTTTCCATCCCGTCCCAGGGCTAGCGAACAGAGACCTGTACGGAAGCCTCTGGGATGAAATTCGCAGCACATGTTCAACCCACCGAAGCCGGTGTTTCCAGATGACGACACTCAACGAATGGTGATCTCGACTGTGTTCAAACACACGCCGTCGAACCTCAGAATTACTCATGCGACGATGCCACCACTCTTCATCTTTAGTATGCTTACTCTGGTCCTGGATACAAAATAAACTAACGACAGTCACTTCTTCTATATGAGCGCATCATGAAAAGCATTTCCAAAAGCCATCTGCACACTTTTATCAACAGCTACCTTCGCTGGTTCCATACTGAAGATCAGATGGTAAGCCAGAAAGAATTAACAACAAGAGATTCTGGGAACGAACCATTCAAGAACCTACTGCTCAACAATCAAGTCGAACACACGTTAAGGAGACCGCCGGGCGAAAGTGCGCTCCATGCCATCGCTCCAGTGAAATCCCAGTGCGAAACAACGAGTTAGGCGTGTGTCTAAGGCTCACATGGAGGAGATGAAAGCTTATGGACAATCGTGCGGTCAGTTGAAGAACACTGATGAGGATAGGACAAAGTGTAGACGTGCTGTTGAAGCCCTATATTCCACTCAGGATCCAAGGGAATAATAATAATAGGGAAAAAATAAAATAATTCAATAGTAATGTATATAAATGGACATATAAAAATGTATTTCCCACCTCTTTCCTACTTTTCGAAGGATAAAGAAACAAGAAAACCTCAGTATGCTTACTGTTATTATTACTTACTTACTTTTACTTTACTTCGGCTATCTCCTACGGGAGGATGAGCCGGCTTCATGAACATCTCGAATCATCGCTGCCCAGGCGCGGCGATCTGATGCAAGGTTTTGCGACAGGGTTATCCAATTCTTGTTCCACAGACGGAGTCCGTAGACGGTTTGTAGCCCCAGGCACTCCATATCAGCCTTGACTGTACCAAGCCATTTAAGAGAGTTCATGAAGTTTCATGGGAATTTGGTACGAGTGATGTCCCCAGAATCGCTCGGCCTTTTGTTTGAGAGTGCAGCTCTAGCCTTTACACAACCAAGTGTGACCTACAAGGCAGTAGGAGTGGAGTAGGGAGTCCACTATCCATTGGCAGCCGGTGACCGGAGTTCCGTTCATACGCCTTTTTGAATGGGGCCAGACATCCAGGACATCCAACAAGCCCTTTGTCCATACGTCTTCCGGTGAGCTCCAGTGAGCTTCATACGCCAGTCGTTGGAGGTTCGGAATCAGGGTTTAGCCATCTCCCCTAGACTGTCATCCAATGGACAGTCAACCCGGTGAAGAGCGCCAGGCATCCGCTTTCGCCCTCTCACTTTGGTGAAAAACACCTCCGCCACGTGAAGGCAGTGAGTAGGACTTCCTCAGGAGAGGCTATGTAAGACGCCCGGTCATATGGGAGCATTTCAAGAGGTGTGCGGAGGGGTGGCCAACCCGCAGCGCAAGGCACCCACCCCCGACTATCCTGAGGCTTTGGAGGCTACTGTTATTATTGCTTACACAAGACAATAATAATATGAGTCACCGGAACATACAATCCCTTGCAGCTTGTCCACGAAAGCTGTGATGAGGCGACACATGTTAAGGTAATACAACTAGCATTCAATACACAGTGCTACTTTACGAACTAACCACTTCCGCGCTACTTTCAATCAATGACGCTTACAGGGAAGACAAGGCATAACATACTCAAAACAAAAGCACTTCTTCAGGATGTCATTACTTATTGGAGGTTTTTCTTTAGAACAAAATTCACATTCGTGAAACAATAAGGCTTTCATTCAATGGCTTTAGTCATTAACTTTTAAGTGATGAAGCAGAAATCCAAAGTAGTTCCACTTTCATAAGATTCAGTAACTTGGTGGTACCGTCAGCCACTGAAACGGTAGATGACGAAGACTTGGTAAAGGAATGTTTGTTTGGAAATTGGTATCTCCGAAAATACCCATTGAGTCATGAAGAAAATGAAAGACAGATTCAGCGAAGAAAATTTTCTTTATCGACGAAATCATCTTCAGAGACTGTACAATCGTATTTATACTTACAAAAATATATAGTGGTCTATTATTGAGTAATAGGGGGTGACATAATTGATATAATTACTCAGAAGTGGTTTTAGAAGTGAAAATTAAAAGTTGTAAATTACGTGGTACTCAACGGCACAAAGATAGAAATTTGATAAGGTTAAAATTGCTATTAAGTGAGAATAAAGGTATTTGAGTGTCAATTTAACAAGTGTGAAGAGGGTGTGAAAATATACAAAAGGAGCATATGAGAGTGATAATAGTGAATTAATTATTAAAGCAAAAGCTAACTAAAAGTGAAATTAGAATGAAAAGAAAAAAATCAAAATATATTTTATTTACAAGGAACGATTAGTGAAGAGGTTAAGACCAAGGTAGAATAAGAGACTGGACAAACTTTTTCTGTACACAGAGTTCAGAGTTGTATTGATGAATTGCCAGAGCCTCCGCCATACACAAAAGCCGAAACCTGACGCCCTTTGTACCATTTGGCTACACTTTGTAAATGATCTTGAAAGACGATTCTGGTGGAGCTACGTGGCCTGAGTTCACCAAATGCTCGAGAATTGAGCTAGTAATTGTCTTACGTTGTCCCTTTGCTAACCATGCCGGATAATGCTCAGAGATGAGTTTGGAAAGCGTGCGCTTTGTGCGGCCAATATGACTAGCTCCACACGAGCAAGTGAATTTATAAACACACACCCTCTTCATACTTGTTAAATTGACACTCAAATACCTTTATTCTCACTTAATAGCAATTTTAACCTTATCAAATTTCTATCTTTGTGCCGTTGAGTACCACGTAATTTACAACTTTTAATTTTCACTTCTAAAGCCACTTCTGAGTAATTATATCAATTATGTCACCCCCTATTACTCAACAATAGACCACTATATATTTTTGTAAGTATAAATACGATTGTACAGTCTCTGAAAATTTGTATCTCTATATAGTCAAATTATGTGCACCTTATCTTCAGCGCACAATTTGTACAGATCATCGTGTTATAATACTTCTGGCCTTCATATTTTGTATCTCCACAACGCTGTATCATTTACCTTCTCTGACATTAAATCCATCTCCCTGCTGTTTGATGTTTTTTTTATACCGATTAACGTCTCTTTATATACTACTGACAAATCTTATCAGCAGCTCTCGCCACACTTTTTACAGTACGTCATGTAATCTAATGAACAAACCAGAGTGTGAAAAATACTAAATATAATCAATTAGGTAAACTGAACACCACGACACAACTCTAATTCACCCCGATATGTATACGCTTCAACACCTCCGAATTTTGTGTATGGCTGTCGAATTGCGTCCATTATGGATGTCACTGTTACGATGACTACTAGTTTTACTACTACTATTATTATTTCCTTAAATTCCTAGAGGAACATAGGGCTTCAGCCGTGCGTTTCCATTGCGTTCGGTTCTCTGTCAACGTTTCCTCCTGGCTCAAAGTCTGCCCACACGCTTTCATCCCCTCTTCACATGACCTCCTCCAAGTCACCCTTGCACTGACGACCAACTCGCCGCTTCCCTTTCGGGTTCCACTCGAGCAATGACTTGTCTAGTGATGTCACTTGATGGTTTCCTTAGGGTATGGCCAATGCATCTCCATTTCTTCCTGCCTATTTGTTTCACAATCGGTTCCTGCTGGGTTGGTTCGCTCATCGCCAGAGATCCCTGTTGCTGATCTTTTCTGACCGGCCATCTGATCTTGAGCATTAAGCGAAGACAACTGTTGATGAAGGTCTGTAGTTTGTTTGAGATGCTCTTTATGACACGCCAAGTCTCTGATCCGTATAGCAGCACTGACTTCACACTGGAGTTGAAAATCCGGATCTTATTTTTGATGCTTAGTGCTGTTGACCTCCGCACAGACTTGAGAGTGGTGAAAGCTTGTCTTGCTTGCTTTGATATCCTCGTCTGTTTTACTATAAATAATTGGAATTTTATAAATTATGAACGTTTTCTTTCATGAGTATGTTTTAAAGTTGCTTTTTTCATTTCTCTACGTTCCCAGTGGAACATAGGGCCACTTCAAGCTAGAGGCTTGAAGTTTCTGTAGCAATGGTGATTATTTTTACAGGATGGAGTTGCTAGCCAGCCTCATGCCCAACCTTCCCTCTTTGCCAGTCTTGCTACTGGCTTAGTGATGTAAAGGAGTGCGTCTGTGGGCGGGGATCAAACCCCGGACCACATGAGGCGTGGTCGTCGAGCACTCTACCGCTGTGCCACCGACGCATATCTTAAAGTTGGCACGTTCATATCAGGTGACACATTAAAAAGGCAGAAAAATAAGTCAAAAATTATGTTACAAGATGACTCACTTTATTGTTTTAGGATCTACCAAAGGAGCTTCATTAAGAAGGAGTCGGATCACTGCTTCCTAGATATAAAAAAATGATATGTAAAACAAAAATGCTCAAGTGACAGATTGTTAATACGACTTTCAAATCAATTACAGTACAATTTAAGACTATAAGAAAAAATGGAGGATTTCATAAACAAATGTCTGTCTGTTTTCAAAATAGAACTTTGCACAGATGTGCAGCAGTTCAAGTCGACACACTCCTCCATGTAGCACACAAAGCAAGAGAAGGAATATGAGACAAAAAGAATAGTAATAACGAAGAGCAATATAGTTTCATTGAGTGTTATAAGTCAGAAGGAGTGGATGCATCTGCGCCAGTCATTGAGAACGATTTTCAGTCATACCACCGATTGTCTCCAGCCATTGGTCTATACCGTCCCGAAGACCCCAACCAGCCAAGAAGTCTACACCTCCCTACGTTTCTCCCTGGCTTAAACTGTTGTGGATTTCATTGATTGGTAAAGCCATGTTTTTGTTTTTGACCGCCACTGGCTCTTTTTGAGCCTGACCTTATGTCAGCTAACATTCATTGTCGAGGAAGACAGGCGATGACTAGGCATACGTATCACATGTAAAAACCATCTCAGTCAATGTAGTTTCCACAGTCTCGTTGATTGATTTTCCCTCCTTATCTAGCACTCGACGCCTAACCTCCCTATTGCTCACCACCTATACCACCTAGTACACATAGGAGATAAAACTCAGGCACCTATGATCAAAGACAGCTAGCCATGCATTTGATGTCTTCCACTCTCGATGGCCATGTCTCACAGTAGTAAAGGAGGATGGAGCGGACTGCTGAGCAGTACACACAAACTTTGATCGATAGACAGCCGGATATCACGTCTACGTCTCGCCAGACACGGCGTAAACTGGCATATGCAAGACGACCCTTCTGTATCCGTGCTGAAATTTCGTCACCAATCAACCCACTGGCGTTTGGGCTGATGCAACTTCCCAGATAAGTGAAGTGGTCAACACACTCCACCGACCACTTCACTCCCTATTTGTAAGCTAGGAGTCAAAGCAGTCCAGTCCAGTCCTGTAACATCATCTTACATTTGGCGGGAGCGAATCGCATGGCAAACCCACAAACAAATGAGTGTTCGATAAGGAAATTTCTTCGACACGATACAAATTTTTGATCATTGTATGGAACAACGGTCAGAGTCATTAAAAATATAACAAGCAGCTAAAAATACCCGAATAATGTGCCTCATAGTCGTGGAAATTTAAGTACATCACATAGTCCATGTTTAAGACGCATTTATTCATCTTCAGTTTTTCTCTTCTAACTTATTTTGAATACCTTAACTTCTTGTTCTATACAGTATTTAATCTTTTGACTTTCTCAGTGTTTCCTCTGAGATTGTTTCTCCCATCGTGCTGTACGATGTGGCAGATTGAGTAAATACAGAAAATACACCGTGCTTCTTATGATTACGCATAATAGCAAACTACTCAGAACTAATTAATTCCGCCTGCCGAAAAGGTTTTCTGAATAGAATATACAAGGTTAATTGAAATCTTAGCTTACTACTTATAAAGTGTGAGACAATAGATTTTGGAACGGCAAGAACTCTAGGGTTTAATCGCCATGCTTACCGAGTGATACACAATGAACAGATCAGAGGTAAAAACTCTCATCTAGGTTTCTTAGCGCTATTCACTGCAACAAATGGAATCAATAATTAGGCTTTCCAGGTGGTAAAAGTGTTTACAAAGATATTGGTAGCATCAAATGGTGTCTTGAAGTTCTTATTGTCAAATAACTTGATTCACCATATCACTTCTGTTGTGAATGATTAATGCATTACAGGAAGTTACCTGGAGTTCTAGTGAGAAGTCGTGATCGGTGGTGTCTAACAAGTCAGGTAAGTAAGGACAGTTACTCGCTGAGGATATGTGCTGGTAGTTGCGTCATATATAACGAATTGGTACAAAAGTTGGGATTCACGGGCCATTGGATCGAGTCTCAGGAGCTGAATGGTCTAAGAGCTAACCTTGTAGCCGGAAGGTCCTGAGTTTCACCCCCCCTAGGTGGGTACTGCCGAAGAGTCCCAAACAAGGACGAAACCAATATTTGAACGTTGTTTTTATGCTAAATTGGTCGTATCACTCCCAGGAACCCCAACATACAATTTATCCAAAGAACTATACAGAAGACTGAAACACTTGACGAAATCATGTGATCACTCCATCCAATCTGCGACCCAATTTTTAGAGAAAATCAAAGGCATTGAAATAGACAGCCAAGAAATAATGGTATCCTTCGACGTCACGGCATTATAT